GAGTGGGAGTCAGAAATGTGGTCCTTGCGCGAGGGGAGCTCGATACACTCGAGGGGCCAGGATACGCCGCGAGGAGGACGGAGTTGCGCCGAAAGGCGAAAGAAGCCGCGAGAACAAGGGACCGGCAGGCGGCGGCGTCGCAGGACGAGACAGAAGAGAACGACGCGACAGAGGAGGAAATGACAAGGGAGAGAACGACGAGAGTGGGACGACCGCGAGGTGGCATGAAGGCTGCAGCGAGAAGCGGCGAGAGACTGCGAAGAGAGATAGGAAGAGGCAGACTCCCTAGGGTGGGCGACGGCTAGCGCATCACACACCTCTCCTTAAAATCCCTGTGTGGTGGCGGCGTGCCGTCCTCCCATCCCTCCCTTGGGTTGTCTGTTTTCTTTCTTTCTTTCTTTCTCTCGTGTCCCGTGTCAGGAGCAGGAGAGCCCCACCTGTCCCCCTGATCGTCCTTCCAAAATCCTGCTCGTGCAGGTGGGGACCCTGTCCTCGTCCCATCCCTCGTTTGGCGTGTCTGTTTTCTTTCTTTCTTTCTTTTTTCTCTCTCCTGCCCTAGATGACTGCTCTATTTATTTATTTATTCTCTCTCCTGCCCGTCATCCTCTTCCTTCTTTTACTTGGGAACCCGTCAAAACGCAATCTCGCCGACCGCATGAACAAGAAGAAAGGAAGCAACATGTGCGATTTCGGAAGGGACACGACAGGCTCGCAGCGCGGTGCGCGGTGGACTCCCACATCCACTGGCGGTCTCATCTCAGTCTATTTCGGGCCCGGGGTATGAACAAGAGACACTTCTTAGAGCTCTCGGAAGCCAGAGCTTGCTGCAGCTGGCTTGCTGCTTGCCTCCGCAGCACCCGGCTCCAAAACCGGCTCCCAGCACCGGCTCCAAAACGCTCTCCGCCACCGGCTCCAATACCACCACCCGCGCACCACCCGCTGAGCCTGCAAGATGGCGCTCCTCGCCACCGTCATAGCGGCGGCGGCGCTCCTCTCCGCCGAGCTCAAGCTGCCAAAGGTGGACATGAAGTACCGCAAACTGGGCTCTTCCGACATGCTCGTCAGCTCGTGCTGCCTTGGCACGATGACGTGGGGCAACCAGAACACGGACGAGGAGGCGGCGGCGCAGCTCGACAAGGCGTGGGACCTGGGCGTCAACTTCCTGGACACGGCAGAGATATACCCGGTGCCGGTGGAGAAGGAGAAGCAGGGTGCCACCGATCGCGCCATCGGCAAGTGGCTCAAGACGAACGGCCGTGCGCGCGACGAGGTGATCATCGCGAGCAAGGTCGCCGGCTACAACGAGCGCTTCACGTGGATGCGCGACGGGCCGACTCGCGTGACACGCGAGCAGATCATCGCCTCTGTCGACGCGTCGCTCGCGCGCCTCGGCGTCGACCACCTCGACCTGCTGCAGATCCACTGGCCGGATCGGTACGTGCCCATGTTCGGCTCGGTCGCGTACGACTGCAGCAAGGAGCGCGACGACGCCGTGCCCTTCGACGAGCAGGCGCGCGCGATGGGCGAGCTGGTCAGTTCAGGCAAGGTGCGCGCGTGGGGCCTGTCCAACGAGACGCCGCTCGGCGTGGCTGAGTTCGTGGCCGCGGCGTCGCGCGAGGGCGCGCCGCCGCCCGTGTCGGTGCAGAACTCGTACTCGCTGCTGCAGCGCTCGGACGAGGTTGGCCTCGTCGAGGCGGTCCGCCACCACGACGTCGCGTACCTGCCCTACTCGCCGCTCTCGGCCGGCGTGCTTTCGGGCAAGTACGACGGGCTGTCGCAGGCGCCCGAGGGGACGCGGCTCAAGCTCTTCGACTCGTACTTCGACCGGTACGCCAACACGTGCGCGCCCGAGTGCGTCGAGTGCTACAAGAAGCTCGCCTTCAACCACGGCATCTCGCCCGCCGCGCTCGCCATCGCCTTCTGCGACTCGCGCCCGTTCGTGACGTCGACCATCATCGGCGCGACGTCGGTTGAGCAGCTCGAGATCAACCTGCAGGGCTTCGGCGTCGAGTGGACCGACGATCTCGAGGAGGAGATCAAGCGCATCCACGCCTACTTCCCCGACCCGTGGCGCATGATCGTCCGCGGCGGCGGCTGAGCGGCAGCGGCCGGCGGGGCGGGCCGGCATGCCGCGGGCCGGCGTGCGGAGTGCGAGTGAATCAGCCGCGTCTGTCGAATCGATGTGCGTGTCGGCGGGCGCGTGTGAAGGAGCGAGCGGTGCCGACTCTTCTCCATGCGTGTGATCGTATCCGCTCGGGATATATCCCTATACATCGTTGCGCTGCGAGCTCCTTCTCTGAGGATCGCTGAGGTGGGGGCCATATCTCGATCAAAAGAATTTTGAACCCATCTTGGAGCACTTGGAGAGCGGTTTGGCTTCCTGTCGTGAGGGTGAACCCCCTGCCCAGCCCCCCTCCGTGTCGCGATGCGCTCCCCGCTCCCGTTCCCCTGTGTCCCTGATCGTCCTACAAGATCCTGTGCTTGTGCAGGTGGGGACCCTGTCCTTCTCCCACCCCTCGTTTGGCGTGTCCGTTGTATTTATTTATTTAGAGCGGTTTGGCGGCTAGTTCCATTTCACTGTGGCACAGCTCGCGTTACAAAACCCTTGATTTGACCATTCGTTGCGCCATTTGGTACCTCTCGGTGCCTTCCAGAGGCAGCTGCGACCCCGCCGAGTAGACGGCGGCACACAGCAGGTGGCGCGGTGTGCCGCCGTCTACTCGGCGGGATCGCAGCTGCCTCTGCGCGTCCTGGAGATGTACCAAATCGTCGCCGCCGGAGACGCGACTCGACGCCGCTGAGATCGGAGATCAAGCTCTGACAGGTCGCACGCCGCTCCTTTGACGCCGACGTGACTCACCCGTGCAGATCACATCAGGACACGGTCTCGACACGCTCGGTACGACGCCTGCGACCCGTCTCGGGTCAGGTGGCACGACGCTCATCGCGCCTGCCAGCGCTGCCGTGCAGGTTGCCACGACGAGGTCGAGCACGCTTCTATACGCTCGCCCAGCCTTCCTTTCCATCCAATTAGGCAGCCTGGGAACGGTGGCGGTCAGAGGCAAAGCCTGCGAGGGGTGGTGGAACCACATGTCACGGCTACCGCCGGCTCGACCCCACGATAGCCTCCGGAGGCTGACTTTGAGGCACAATCATCGGACGACGTCGGCGAGTTGAGTCGCGCTCGCGGTAGCCAGATGATCTCTCATACTAGTATCATCGGCCATGGCCGCAGGAAGCGCGGGGGATTCCGCTGGGAGCAACACGGAGCTCCGTTGGACGTGTTTTCAAGATTAGCGTGTCAGAGTGAATTGGAACTAGCCTTTAAGTGGGGGCAACCTCGCAGGACGCAGCTCACCAAAAAAGTGTCTCACCATCATGCATCAAGGGCCGGGGAGCTCTTATTCTGTTTTAAGCGAAGCCCGCGAACAGCGCACCCACAGGCACAGCGCACAGCGGCAGCGCGGGGGGGCGCGGGCCGGATCGCCGGCGGATGTGCCGCATGCCGCGGCGCGGGGACGGGCTCGAACGACGTACGAGCAATATTAAGCAATAAACAAAGAGCCCTCTGGATCTGAGAGGTTGCCGACTGCACTCTCCGAGTGCTCCAAGTGCTCCGCTCCCTATCTGAGTCTGACCTAGAGTCTGACCCTGGCGCTGGGGGAGGCGGGCCGGGACGGAGCCTTCCTTGAGTGTCGGCATGCCATCTGGCATCCTCATTTCGTAGCCTCTACCGGCTTCGTTGTTCTCCCATAAATAAATATAGCAGACAACCCTTGGTGGGTTGTTATAAAAACGGGCACGCCAAACGAGGGGTGGGAGAAGGACAGGGTTGTTCTCCCAGTACGTCGCTGCCCGCCGATTTCTTCTTCTTTTGACCTGTTGCCGCAGATCTTGTCACTAACCCAGGCACACTCAGAGTCTGTGGGGCTGGAGAGGGTGCGCACAGCGCACCGCCGGGAAATGCCGACACTCACACCACTGTCGAGAGTCCGAACCGGAGAAAATCACACACACGATGATCGGGGGGCACGAGCGTGATGAGGCTCGAGAGGGGGCCTAAATATCGTCTCATGGCCAGGGGGGACGCGCGCAGAGAGCCGACGGAACGCACAGACCGAAGCGAGGCTGGTGCAACACGCTAAAATGCGTGCTCATGCCATTACGCTCTACGCCACTGCGCTCCATGCTCAGAGGAGACCGTTAGCCTTCTTCAGCGAGCTGATGTATGCCTTTGTCGGGAGCGGATAGGCGGGCTTCTCTGACTTGGACGCGGCCGGCGCCTCAGGATCGGCGGAGGCTGCCCCGTGCACTTTCTCCTTCAGGCCGCAGCACAACGAGAGCGGGAGGCCATTCACGCGCGGCGTGCCTGAGTAAACTGCGTTCCGCGAGTTTTGTTCGTAGAACGGCGCATCTGCCTTGAGGTTGCAGCAACACTTGACGCACGTGTTGTATGCAAACGAGAAGATGTAGGTGCCGAGGACGGGGATCAAGAGGAGGATGTACCAGACAAAACCGATCGGGAAGGTGTCGATCTGCCCCGGGGTGAGCGCGTATTCCATGGCGAACAAACGAGGGCGAGGAGGACGAGGGAGCGGAGGCTGCCGAGGCGGGCGCGTGTTGCGCGCGGCGGGCGGATGCAAGCGATCAAAGTCGGCGGACAGGTTGCAACTTCGAGGAAGAAAGACTGCTCCAGCTCAGCCGCGCCCGCCGCTCCGTACGTATCGCATCCGCCTGCTGCCACCGTGCCGCCGGCCGCCGTCGAGCCCCTGATGCCGCAACAGCTCGCTGTGCTAGCTGAGCTAACTGCCAGCAGATCGGCTCGCGCCGTGGTGCTAGTTTGAATCTGGAAAAGGGGGTGTTAGAACAAAGAAGGGAAAATGAATCTAGGCGTGATAGCTCTCTTCCATCCTCCTTCCATCCTCCTTCCATCCTCCTTCTGGACTGGGCGCTCCGCGGCGGCCCCGCGCCGGCAGCGCGTGACAGTCGAGTCGAGCAGCATGGCAACCGAGGACAAGGACACGCTGGTCGTCCGCCGCCAGACAACCGGAGACGCTCTGCACAGCCTGCTCTCCGACTTGTTTGAGGAGGTCCGGCACGAATGCAGCGGGAGCGTGGCCGACTACATTCCTCAGCTCGCACAGGCGGACCCAGCCCTCTTCGGTGTGGCCTTCTGCGACGTCCACGGCCGAATCTCAGCGGTCGGCGACAGCCGTGCGACCTATTGTCTGCAAAGCACGAGCAAGCCGCTCAACTACTGCCTCGCTCGCAACCTGCAGGCGGCGGGACGGGGCGCGCCTGTGCACGAGCACGTGGGGTTCGAGCCGAGCGGCCGCGCGTTCAACGAGTTTTGTCTCAACGCGCAGGGCCTCCCGCACAATCCGCTCATCAACGCCGGCGCCATCATCGTGGCCAGCCTCATCGAGCCGGCAAAGGAGCCAGCCGCGCGCTTCGACGAGGTCATCGGCTTCTACCGCCGCCTCTCTGGCGGCGGTGCGGGCAACATCGGCTTCGACAACGGGGTCTTTCTGTCGGAGAAGCACCACGCCGACCGGAACGTCGCGCTGGCTTACCACATGCGACAGCACGGCGCCTTTGACGGCTACCCGACCCCCTCTCAGTTGCAAGACCACCTCGACCTCTACTTCCAGACCTGCTCCGTGACGATCAACTCCGAGGTCGGCGCGGTCATGGCAGCGACGCTCGCCAATCACGGCACGTGCCCCACCTCGGGAGAGGCGGTCGTCAGCCCGTACATCGTCAAGGACGTGCTCTCCATCATGCACGGCTGCGGGATGTACGACTTTAGCGGCCAGTTTGGCTTCACGGTCGGCCTGCCAGCAAAGTCGGGCGTCTCCGGCGCGGTGATGCTGGTGGTGCCCGGCGTCGGCGGCTTCTGCATCTACTCGCCGCGGCTCGACGAGCACGGCAACTCGGTGCGGGGCCTCGCGTTTTGCAACGCGTTCGCGCGCCTCACCGCGTCGCGTTACCACGTCTTTGGCCGCGTGCTCTCCGAGCCCGCGTCGCCGTCGTGGCGATGGGACGCCGGGAAGGAGGCCGCGAGGGACGGCGGGAGGGAGGGAGGGGCCCACGGCAGCGACAACGGCGCCGCGCCGCGGACGGTGGCGGCGGTCGCCGACGGAGACGCGGCGGACGAGGACAAGCAGGTGGAGCTGCTGGTGCACCGGCTGGTGCACGCGGCATCGCTGGGCAACCTTCACGCGCTGCGGGAGCGGCCGACGCTCCTCGGCCACGGCGACCGCGACGGGCGGACGCCGCTCCACTTGGCGTGCGCGAAGGGGCAGACGGATTGCGTCGTCTACCTGCTCTCGATTGAGAACGTGAGGCGCGAGCCCAAGGACCGGTGGGGCACCACCCCCGCCGCCGAGGCAGCAAAGTACCACGCGAAGCTCTGCGAGCAGCAGGCGGCCGGCGATGACGGGTTGGAGGTGAGGATGCAGGAGTGGGAGGCTGTGCGCTCGATGCTCGCCGAGGCCCCGGCGGAGAAGCGGAAGCAGCGGCGGCACAGCAGCTGAACCACTAGAGCGGTGCACGCGCGCACACGGCTGATTGATCCCCACCACGGCTGAAGCCCCACGCGACCCCCTCCCAGATCACTTCACGTTCACACCCCAGGAGAGAGTCTCGATAGTTACTCTATGTGTGTGTCCAATGATTTTGTGTGTATGTATGGGCAAAAAATATCCGAATAGACAATAATGATTTTTGTGTGATGGGGGCGAAAGCCAAATGTCCTGGGCATCAAAAATGGATGAGATCAGCAAGACTAGAGGAACAAGATCCCATAGACCGCTGGGCGGGGACCCGCTCGCGCTCCTTTTCTCCCATCCGAAGCCGGATACGCGGCCAGTCACACATTGGGGGTTTTGCGGATCTCCCACGCCAGATGAGTACGCTAGTCACCGAGCCTCGGTCAATGGAGGAGGAGGTCTCCTTCATGGAGGCATGGCATTGAGCACAGCCTCCAGTTGCTTAATGTGATCTTGTTTCCTGTTTGTTCCTCGTCAAGAGATCGACGCAATCAATCGTCCGACGCGCCGGTGAGCGAGCGCCGAACGCGCCTCCCTCCCTCGGTTGGAGCTTAATTCCGTTCGCCACTCCGTGTTGCCTTCCACAGCCGGCGGCAAACACCGCGACTAGCCTCAGACGAGCGCCGTGCCCCGCATGTACATGCTTCCTGGATGCATGACGATCGATCGGCTGACGATATCGGCTGGCGACCCGTCAGGGTCGCCAGTTGAGCTGGAAGTGAAAGCGGGCGGGCGGCTCTGCGAATATCCCTGGTGTGGACGGTTTTTTTCGCGGTATCCGCGGTGGGATATGGCGGGATATGGCGGGATACCGGGAGATACCGGGAGATACCGGGAGATACGAGATACGGGCGGATACGGGCAGATACGGGCAGATACGGGCAGATACGGGGAGATGCGATGAGATGCAAGGAGATACGGGGAGATACGGTCAGATATTGCAGAGATACATCAAGATACCGCAAAAAAACCGTCCGCACTAGTGCTGCGAATGGGAGAAGAGGAGGAGCGGCACGAAAACGGCAAGTGCAAAGCTTCAACGGAGTTAGGGCTTGGGTGCCGGGGCTTCGTTGAATTCTAACTGTATCTCAGTGTCATTCTTCACACCGTGCCATCGCAGAGTAGATTGTGAATGAGCTGGCCCCTGCGGCGAGGGCGGGCGAGTGCACGGAGCTAAGTGCCTCGCCGTCCTCGCAGGAGTCGCTTAGGCGGCTCCCGTGGTGTACCTGTGTTAGTGCCAGTGCGCGCCAGTCCCGTGCCCAGTGTCGTGCAGGGAGTCGGGTTTTCTAACTCCGGCCATGGTCCCGAGTTCATTTTATTGGTACCATACCGGCAAAAAGCTCCAACCCTGTGCATTCAATGGCCCGGCAATGTCCACTAATGTTGAGGGTAGGGCTCGACGCCGCGTTCCGCACCACGCCAAATTGTACTACAAGGTTGTCGCGGCGCGTGACGACGGATCCTTCCGCTCCATCTACGACGGCACAACGAACTACGCCGTCGGCGAAGTCACGACAGGATCGCCGCTCTACGCGTGCCACTCCATCGGAGCAGTGGTGGTGCACGGGCGACACCGCCTCTCGGACGAGTGCGCGATGCTCGACGCGCCGCGCGCCATCCTTCGCTGCTGGGGCTGGAGGCTCGACGGATCACTGCCGGCGCCGGTGGGCACGCCAGGCAAGTACCGCCTGGACGCGCTGCTGCCCATCGCGGCTCTGCCGTGGAGCTCGACGGGTGGGCACGACGGCATCCCGCCGTACTCACAGCTGCGGCCACCCGCACGAGGCGTAGCTTCGGCCGTCGTGTGCGGCCCAGCGGCACTGCGCAGAGGAGGCGCACGGTGGGAGCAGCGTAGATGCGGGACACAGGCATCCCGTGAAAGCACTTGAGAAGACACGTATTCAACTGCACTGGGTGGTATTCGCTGCACCCGTAGCCGGTTGTGCTCGCGCGGTGCTCCGACTCCACCGCACGAGACCGTCTTCTCTCGCCCTCACTGTCTGGCGCGTTCACGGCGCAGGTGGAGCAGCCGCGTCTCGGAGCAGCTGCAGGCGGCCACTGTCCGGCTGCACGAGGACGTGCTGCGCATGAGCGGCGCGCTCGAGGGGCTCGACCTCCTGCGCGCCGAGGCGCTGGGGGCGGCCCGCCGCCCTTCTGAGCCACGGCCGGCCTGGGTGGAGAGGGCGCTGGCAGCAGAGAGGTCGGCGGCGGCCGCCTCGAGCGGCGCCTGAGGGCGCGGCCGCCAGGAGTCCTCACTGATGGAGAGCGGGCACGTACTGGCCGAGGGCCGACCACCTATCCTGATGAGATGATGAACATGGCTGGCCGCGGTCACGGATGTCGTCGACCGGCGCGGTGTGACGGCTGTCCTTTTTCATATATCGACTATCGTGCGTGGAGTCGTGCACCGACTATACCAGTCTACACCGTAATTTATTACGAATACGATCCGTACAAAGAATTTTAGAACAAAACTCCCTCGCACAACACGGCTCACGGGGCACATAACACGCTAGAGGCGAGACCGCGCCCCCATGATGCATGAACGAGAAGCGTCTGGGTGCTGATCGAAAAATTTGGCGGATGGCGCGGATGCTGCAGCCGCATCTTTCCGCGCGCCCCCGGGCGAGTAGAGAGCGTGATTGTGTGGCTGCATGGACTGAGGGACAAAGCTGGGGGTGAAGGGAGGGTCGTCCACGGATGTGCTGCCCGCGCCCTCGATATGCGCTCTCAAGCATCGCTCGCGCACGCGCTCACTGGCGCGCCGGAGCCCCATGCAGCAGCAGCTCATCGCGCGTGGAGAACTCCTCAATAGTGAACTCGCCATCGCCGTCGCCGTCGCCGTCGCCATCGCCATCGCCGCCGCCGTCGCCGTCCGCCGCCGCGCCATCGCCACCCGCCGCCAACCCGCCGCCGCCACCGCCGCCGCCGCTCGGCCACCCTGCTGGCGACGGCCGCCCCTTCCTCTTCTGGCAGGGCTTGGAGGGCGGCGGCGGCGGCGGCAGCTCTGTCTCTGCGCCGAGTGGCGAGAGGAGCCTAGTGTGTGCACACGGGGGCGAGGCAGTGACCTGTGTGAGCACAGCACACCCGCTACCCCACGTGATCCCAACGGCGGCGAGTACAGCGAGTGCGGCTGCAATGCAGTCGAACAGCGGCGAGTCCGCGTCTTGGAAGGGCGGGGCTGTAGGTCCGTCTCCGGCGTCTAGCGACACGAGCCAGTGCTGCACACGGTCGGCCGGGAACCAGTACCGCTGCTGGTCCTCGTCAAAGAGGACCTGGACGTGCATCCCGCTCGCCCGCGTCACCACGCCCGCGTAGCTGCCGAGCGCCTGCGTCATGTGTCCGCTGACTGTCAGGAGGTGAGCACGGGGCCGTGCCGTGTGTCGGGAGCATCTCGTTGCGTGGAGCATCTCGTTGCGTGGATGCACGGGCTATGAACACGGTGAGTTCAGCTGGAGCCGAGGCGATCCGTGCCCATCTCGAGTGCTGGCGGAAGGGCAAGGGTCCGTCTTCCGCATCTAGAGGGCAGCAAGCCTCGACTCCAAACTCGCTCTTCGGAGTCCCGACACGCCGTTTGACCTGGCGCAAAGCCACACCGGGGAGCGAGGGCGGGAGGTCGGTGTCGTGCCACTCAGACCACCGTGTGAGCACACGGGGTGGTGGTGCACACCAGCCTGTGTGTACGCACCCTCTCGAGTGCTAGTCAGAACACACGGATCTGTAGTTTCTGGGCCGCCTGACCAGCCGCGACGCGAGTGAGCGCCTGGTGGAGCTCCCGCCGCCCTTGCCGCGCTTCCCACCGCAAGCGGCTGTGCGGCCGCCTCTGTCCGCCCGCCCGTCCGCCGCGCCGCCCGCCGCCGCCTAAAAGAGACAGCTGCCAAGTCAGCCACAGAGGCGGTGCGCCGGACGCACGGCGCCCTCCTCCCCGCTACCACGCACCTCCATGTCCATGGCCGCCTCGCCGCGCAGCCCCGGCACCGCCATCGCCGCCATGTGAGCCTCGGCGCTGATGGCCGCCGCCCGCTGCGGCGCGCGTCGCCGCGCCGCCCCCCCCCCGCCGCCGCCGCCACCGCCGCCGCCATCTGTGCCCTCCTCACTCTCCACACCGTTTGTGCCGTGAGCTCCATGTGTGCCGTTTGCGCCGTTTGCGCCGTTTGCGCCGTTTGCGTCGCTCGCGCCGTTTGCGCCGCCGGAGGAGTCGTGGCCGGCCTGGGGACATGTCACGGAAGTGCCGAGGTTGAGTCACGCCGGCACGAGCGCGCCGCGGCGGCAGAACAGGCGGCGGCGAGGGTGACGGGAGTGAGGGGAAGCGGTGTGGCGGGCGGAGCCGCAGGGCGACGGCAGGGAGGACACGCCTCTTCGGACGTGGGCCGCGCCGCCAAGGCCGACTCCACACCCTTGCCGATGCCGTTGCTGCCTTTGCTGAGGTTGGCGCGCTTGCCGAGGTTGGTGCCGCCATTGACGCCGCCGTTGACGCCAGCGCCGTGGCCGGCGGCGCTGCCGTGCGAGCTGCAGGCGCCGCCGCCGCCCTCAGAGGCTGCGCCCGCCGTCCCGCTGAACTTGCCGCCCGCCTCGAGGGACGGAGTCGCACCACCGCCGGGCTGCGCGTGCCTTGCCGCCGGCACTCCGGCCGCGAGCGTGGACCGGAGCGTGTCCGGGAACGGGATCTGGTCGCACGGTGGCTTTCGGTTGAGCGCCTTTGGCTCGACCCTGACGGCGGACAGACCGTCGGAGCCCGCGGTGCTCTGGTCGCCGTCGGGTGCCGAGCGCTTGGCTCCCTTTGGATGCATCGGGATGATCGGAGGCGTGGCAGGAGTAGAGAGCGCAGACTGCGGTGAGCCTCTCGCACGTGCGATGCGAAGCTCAGGCCGTGAACCTTCTGCACGCCTCTGTGCGAGAGAAAACATCGACGATCGCCTTGCGTCGGCAGCCAGAGGCGGCGGGCCGGCGGGAGAGGGCGGTGGTGCGGGCGGTGATGATGATGATGTGGCCGTTGCGCCGCCGCCGCGTCCTCTTCGCGAGCGCTCTCCTTTTTACGCTGACCCCCCCCCTTCCTATTGTCGGAGTGTCCGACTTTTTCCCGGAGCAGGACAAGGCCTCTCAGCAGTCTCCTTGGGTTTGGTGCTCACAGGAGGGTTGTACAGGTGTGAACAACACCTCCTGACCACGGCGCCGCAGGCGCCTGTTGATAGGTCCAGGTGAAAGCCCTGTGGATATGCAATGCATACGCCTAGTTGGACCTCAGATCGCCCGACCGCGTCCCGGTGCTCTCCCGCCCGTCGGATTTGTGACTCCGCCGCACCGCGCCGCGGCCGGGGGCCCTCCGGAGGCCGAGGATGGCCGTGACGGACCGGGACGAGCTCTGGGTACTGCGACTGGGAGGTTCAGTGTCAGTGTATATATTGTAGAGACTGACCACGTGCACAAACATAGCTCAGTCTAGCTAAGCCTGGGGAGGCGATGCCGAGGCCGTACAGCAGCTTGATGGTGCTTCGCCGCTTCGCCGGCGTGCGTCCCGGAGCGGTCCCGGACGGGGGCCAGAGGAGAAAACTCAGGACAACGCGAGCACCGCTCTGATTTGAATTTTAACTTCAAGCAAAGACGGCGGCGCACGTGCCGCGCCGTGTGGCGGATGCCGCCGCGTGCCCATCGGAGAAGGCAGAAGGGTAGTTTGTCGTGTTCAAGCCGGGAGTAGAGGGTGCGGTGCGTCCTAATCTATAATCCGAGGATTAAGGATTCAGGCATCGCTTCAGTGAGGCCAAAGTGAGTTTATGGATGTGTGAGAACGGTACGGGACACGAGGAGGCACGCGGACCAACTCGTCGGTGACTCTGCTGCACGCCGTTTCAGAATTTTTCTCAGCGTGAGCGAGACGTGGAAGAGTGCCACCGTCGGGTAGAACGGGTCGGCCCGGAGCATCAGAGTAGCCGTCGTGGTCGTAGTGAGCAGCGCCGGCCACTCCGGCGCCGCGTCGGCACCGTGGGAGCATGTCCACCGCCACTTCGCGGTCACAGCGCTGTTGTCGCCCGAAACGCCGCATGTACCTCTGGCGGGCCAAAGATCGACTCGCATGTCGATTTCGACTTGACGGCAGCATGGAGGCATCACGTCTCCATGCTGCCGTCAAGTCGGTCGCAGTCTGCGGCGACCACAGCACTCGCAGGAGGTACATTAGAGCTTTTCCAGAGTCAAGCGATGGCGCGAAATCCCACACTGCTGGATTTGGTACGCACCGCACCCCCTACCGGGAGGATCGTGTCCTGAGTTAGCCTGGGCAACCATTCGCGGCGACGAGTACTCGAGTAGAAAAAAGAAAAGCAACCGGAAAAATTGCTCCAACCCCCCTCCCTGCTAGGGGCTCTCCCGTCTCCTCTCCTGGCGCGCACCCGCGCACTGCCACTCGCACCTAGTCATACAGGTCGCCATCCTCCCCCTCCTCCTCCTCCGTCTCCGTCTCCTCGTCCCCGTCGTCGTCCTCCTCCTCGAAAGCGCTGTCGATCCGGAAGCTCACGACGGCCACGGGCAGGATGAACTCATTCATTTTATTGGTCCAAACGACCAGCCGGACGGCCTTGGTGTAGTCGACGGTGCCATCCGTCCTTTTGACGAGCGTGTCCACCCCCGTGTCGACGTGCTCCGAAGACGGCTTGTCCTGGTCGGAGCCCGCGCAGCCGCCGTCGCGCACCTAAGGGGTGACGTCTTGATTGCGGTGACCAGCCGTCCCTTGGAGACTGCGTCGGCTCTGGCCGGCGCGGACGGGCGCCATACTAACACGCCAAAACCCTAACACGGTCTGGGCTGGTGCGTTCTGATTCTAGTGGCTCGCCTGCTCGGGCTCGCCGGTGGCCACCTCGCAAAAGAGGACGTGCTGCACCCGATCGGCGTCTCTCGAGGCGTACTGAGGCGAAGCGGCCATCATGCCGGCCCTGCCGCCCGAGCCAACGGGCGAGAGGTAGATGCCCTTGCCAAACTGGGCCGCGTTGCGCACCGTGTTGGTCGACACGAAACCGTCGCGAGCGATCGACGCCAAGGCGCCGAGACTGGACCCGTGGAAGGCATGCTGGGTGCTCGTGCCCCGGCGCGCCTTCAGCTGCGCCGCGGCGCTGCAGAACGCAGAACGCCGCTCCGGCGCCGGGTTCACCTCGTGCACCGCCACAACGGTGACGGTCTCGAAGCGCTCGTCGCGCGACCCGAGCGACGAGATCAGCGCCGCCCGCGCCTGCGCGTCCATCTCGAGTCCGGCGGGAGTAAAGAGCGGCGGCTGCAGCACGTCTGAAGCGTGCAGCCTGGCCGTCTGCTCGGCGACCGCATCGTTGCGCGTTGGGCCCCTCAATGGGGGGAGGAGGGTTGTGCCGCAGACGATCTGGTAAGGCTCGACCGCCCGGCCCCCTTGCCCGAAAAAGGAGACGGAGCGCAGGAAACCGGTCTGTCCGTTTCGCTGGGTCAGCCTCGAGAGATCAAGCGTGTACGTCTCGCTACCCACCTTGTACTGCAGCTTGGAGATGGCGTGCGAGCTTTGTGCATGCCGCATCATCTTTTCGAGGCTGGCGTTGATGTTGCCGGCGGGCGGGCCCTTCTTCAGCACCTGCATCGTGATTGCGCCCGCCGTGGCGCTGTCGAAGTCCGCCCAGACAACGAAGTCGCGAGGATTCAGCCCCTGCCGAAGTCCATCGCAGAACTGGAGCCCAAGCTCCTCCGCCAGCTTGCCGCAGATGGAGGCGCACCGCTCGCCCAGCCTCGCCGCGCAGTACGAGAAGAAGTTAGCTCCGCGGCGCGCCTCGAAGACGGGCGCCATCATCGTCCACGAGCCGCCCGTGTCGCCGCCGACGTGCTGGTACCCGAGCGCCTCGAGGACGTGGTAGTGCGCGTGCGCGTCACGTACGCGACGCTGGAAGGCGGCGTTGCCCGCGTTGATGGTGCGCGCGCGAGCCGCCGCCTTCTTGTCCGATGATGACAGGTCGCGTGCGTAGATGGCTAGCGTGTCAAAGAGCTTGGCGGCGAGCACGGTCGTGTTCCTCGCGTCGGCCTCCGCCATCGCATCGTCGAAGGCGGGCTGCAGCGCCGTGTGGGATTCCGCGGCCGCGAGCGCCGCAAGCTCGCTCTCGGCTCTGTCCTGGGCAACTTTCGTCGCGGCGAGCGCCTGTTTGCTTTCGGCCAGCGCTGCCTGCAGCACGCATACCTCGGAGCTCTTTGCTCTCGCGTCCTTCTCCGCAAGAGTGGCGCGGATCTGAAGGCGGTCAGCTTTGGCGACGGCAACGTCTACGTCATGGAGCTGCTTCTCCTGCAGGTCGGCAAGTTGCCCCTTGGTGTAGTAAAGCCACGCGCTCCAGCTGGCCAGAATCACTGCAGCCGTTCCGAGCAACTGCGCCCACCAGCGCCATCCGTCAACCTCGGAGGGTGCGTTGAGCGCGCCGAATCCGGCCAGCGCCTGCTGCGCGAGGCTGTCGATGTCGTCGTAATCAAGCTGCAGCTCCTCAGCGCGGCGCAGCCGGCGCAGCGCTGCGGAAGCGGCCTTGCGTGCGCGCGTCCCCATCATACACTGACTGAATGACGTTTGTCAGCTCCGCGCCCAAATCTCGCGCGCTGGCGGTGATGCCGAGATACCGTCGGGTACTTATTTTAAGAGCAATTGCCCGGCGCTGCTTGCAGCACTCTGGGTGGTAGTGGCGGCGCTCCAAGAGTGGTGCTCTTGGGAAGAGGTTCCTCCTTTCCGCTCCCCCCCCGCAAGGCGCGAGACACACACGAGCAGGTAAACAGCAATAGATCCGGCCCTCAAGCGGCCATACCCAGCCCTCACGGAATCGGTCCCTCGTTGTACAGCAATCGATCCTTCACACTGCCCGCGCTGCCAAACTTGCTGAGAATCGGTCCCCCCACCTGTGGCGCGAAGCTGATATGTCTCCCGCGCTCGGCGCGCCGACCGCGCAGCGGCGGCAGAGCACCCTCCGGTTCGAGGGGCGCCTGGGGGTGAGCGGGCTGCCTCCGCCAGAGTTTGGCTCGCCCACCTGCGCGGGCCCCCCTGTACCCCCTCCCCCCCCCGGCCCGGGTGTCTAGCAATTGGTCCCTTGGCAAGCGCGAATCGGTCCCCCTGGCTCCAGGAACTGATCCGGCACTACACCCGGATCTATGCTGTTTACCTGCTCTTAAAATAAGTACCCGACGGTAGCTGAGCACTTGAGCATGGATTGTCTCGCCCTCCCTCACTGGTGTGTTCATTGGGGGGGGTCATAACAAACACGATACAGGATCCACAGAAGCAGTATCGTCCCCCCGCTCGCGGCTGCGCTATCCATCGATCGAGCATCGTCTCACTGGGAAACGTCGGGCGGCGATGGCGGTGTGCGTGGAACTTGCGAGTCAAGCATTATTATTGCGTCCGGCACAGGTCTCAGCGCACAGGCTCCGGACACGTGAGCGCGCGCTCGCAATCCGCGATGGATTCCTTTCGCGTTCACGATCGACCCCCGGCGGGGTGCTCCACCCTCGCGCCTCGCCACGCTCTCGGTTCGTACATCGTGGGGGGCGGCTCAACCTCCCGCAACCATGATTTGCATGTATCTTATGTACACACACTTGCCCGTCATACCACATCACCACACTGAAGCCAATAGATTGATGCGGGGCGCCAAGCACTCGGGCCCCGCGAGCACTTGTCCCCACATCGCATGCGAGCCGCCCGCGCCGGCGCGATGCCGCACGCGCGAAGGCCGAACAGACCAACCAAAAGCACACCCAGGCCACCACCATTCCATGTGCGGATGCTCCCGCGCCCCAAGCCCTAGCGGGGCGCGGACCCAACCCCCCCCCCCCCTCCTTGCTGCCCCCCACACCCCGCACAAGCAGCTCAGCGCGAAAAGTCCTCGACGCGCAGCGGCATCTCCATGAGCCGCTCCAGCCCCTCGCGCGGCGTGATCTTGCCGTCGAGAATCGCCGCCACGCCAAAGAGGATCGGGTACCTGTGGCAGCGGTGGCGGCGGGCTGGGCAGCCGGGGTGATGTGGCATGCAGCGACGGCACACGCGTCGAGGTGGGGGGTAGGTGGCGAAGGGGGGCAGCGAGGGGGCGTGGCGGCATCTCGCGGTCGTCCCGGAGGCCCGATCGGGGTGGGTGGGGGTGGGTTGGGGGGGGGGGGGGGGGGGGGCGCACTTCAGGTTGCCCCCGTAGCCCTTAACCGACTTTCCGACCAGTTTTGGAATAGAGCGGCTGGGGGGAACCCCCCCGTACACCTCCGAGCTCGGGGCGAAAATCTTTTTGAGGGTTTCGCCGGGCCCCAGCCGCATGCCGACCTGCCGATTTCGGCTGAGCGGCCCGAAGCAGGTGCCAAACGTGTCCCCCACCCCAGAGAGGCCAAAGACAGTGGATGGCTCGCCGCCGCAGACGACAACCAGCTTCCGCATCTCGGTGCAGCCGCGGGTGACGAGGGCGGCCATCGCGTTTGTGCCGAGGCCGAGGCCCTCGCACATCCCGGCAGCGATCGCGATCACGTTCTTGACGGCGCCGCCCACCTCGACGCCCACCTGGAGGAAGGGTCCGAGAAGGTGCCGGGACGGTGCCGGGTGGCGGACCGCCGCCAGCCTTGCAGCCGCACCACGTCGGGCGAGTAGAGGGCGCGGAAGTTGGTCGACGCGAGCAGCTCCATCAGGTCGTTTGCGAGCTCGCGGTCGGCCTGCGCGCAGCGACGTGGCGGGGAGGGGGCGGGGGGGGCGGGGGGGGCGGGTCAGGGGGACGGGCAGGGGGACGGGCAGGGGGACGGGTCAGGGGGACGGGTCAGGGGGACGGGGCTGGGAAATGTCTGGAGAGGCGCGGGCGGCGCAGGCGCTCTGCGGGCGAGGCGGCGCGAGAGGCGGAAGGCTGGGCCCAACAAAGCGACTGCGGGGCGGTGGGTGTGTGCCCCTTCCGTGCGGCGGAGGGCGACGAGGAAGCGTCTCAGAAGCGTCTCGGAAGCGTCTCGGAGTGCGTGCGTCTCTCGGGAGTGCTGTGCGCCGATGCGATGGTGACGGCGGTGACGAGCCCTTCCGCGATCTCGCTCGCAAAGGCGGGCCCGGAGAGGAAGGCGAGCGGCCGCTCGCTTCCGAGGCAGTCCTCGAGCACTTCGGCCATCAGCATGAGAGACGACGTCTCGATCCCCTTGGAGAGGGAGATGACTGGCACGCCGGGAGGAATCAGGTGCGAGACCTGTGCAGGCGAGCGAGGGGAGCGAGGTGGAGGCGCGCACGCGACGGCGACGGCGGCGGCGGCGACGGCGGCGGCGGCGACGGCGGCGAGGGCGGCGGCGGCGAGGGCGGCGGCGGCGAGGGCGGCAGCGGCGAGGGCGGCGGCGGCGAGGGCGGCAGCGGCTAGGCGCCACCTTTGCCAGTGCGTCGCGTGTAAACTGGACGGGCACGGCGTGAAAAATGAAGTGGGCGTCGGCGAAGGCGGCCGCCGCGTCCGTCGTGGCGCGGACCTGCGGGAGGAAGTGTGGCGAGCGTGAGGCGCCACCGCCCGGGCTCACAGGGTCGGCCGGCGGCTCCGGCGCCTGCTGCGGTAGTTGCACATGGGACTGGTGCGCGGTGTTGGTGCCATTCTCGTTGATGGAGGCCGCGACCGTCTCCTGGCGCACCACCAGGGTAACGTTGACGCCTTTGCGCCCGAGCACGTGCGACATCGCGGTGCCAAAGGAGCCGCCGCCGAGCACAGCGACGTTGATGCTGGACGCATTCAAACCGTGGTCGACGGCGTCGCTACTGCTCTGCCCGAGCCGCCCAGCCAGCACGCGCCGCCCACGGTAGAGGCGCACCGCGCCCGGGCTGCTCACATCAGACTGCTGGTTCATCGAGTAGACGCAGCACGGCTGGCTGGTCCGGGATCGTCTCCCGGCGGCGGCGGTGAGGGCAGCGGCGGAAAAGCTTGCGGTGCGAGCAACCGGCAGCGCGCGAGCCGGCGTCAGCTGGATCGCCGGCGCCGGCGCCGCCGCGAAGAGCAGGAGCAGCAGCGGGGAGCCGCTGAAAGGCAGGTTGGGCTGCATCGTCTGGCGATCCTCTCGGAATCGGATTTTTTTTTCCTTCGCGGAGTCGGGCGCTGTTCGTCAAACCCACACCTCGCCGCAACCGGCGCCGGCGCGCGACACGTACCGTCGGCGGAGGTCTCGTCGGGCGGGTGCGTCTCGCTCGCCAAAGCGGGCGCACTCTTGATGGTGCCGACGAGATGCGGCGCACAGCCATTAAGCTACGCCCCCCGATGGTTGTGTGCTGTGCTGACGACAGGGTTTGTTGGGTGCGGAGTGTTGCCCGTTGTTACGACCATTGGTGGGTCGTCCTCACAAACATGTCTGCGAGCCTACCTCGTGCCATCCTGTGGCTATGGTGGTGCCGGTCGGTTCAGGCTGGCCATGATCACCGTGGTGCGGGAGTGGGAGCCCACCGCCCTGAGGCTCAGGTCAAGCTGCTCAAGCTGAACGCACGCCAGTCGCACGCCGCCGCAAAGGACGCCCTGCGAGAGCTGCTTCCTCCATTGCGTGATGATGATGATCCAGGCATGCTACTCGCCGTTGCAACAGCTGGTGTGAGTCAGGCGCTCAGAAACTTTGCTCTGGTCGCGGCCCGTGCCAAGGGGAATGAAACCTCGTGGCCGTTTCTAGCGGTGGCCAATTTCGACTGGGCCGTGCACACTGAGTGCAGGGCGTTGCGGCATTGCCTCCGTTCGAATCTAAGTATGGTTTGCGTCCCTCCTCCTATGGCTCTTGCTCTGGGCCGGATGAACAGGACTGGCGACGACGTCGGTGCGATTGCGGCGTTCGGTAGTCGTGCATTCCGAGCCCTCCAATTGGCCAAGTTATCCGTTTTGCAAGCTGTGCTCGCGGCGGCGGAGAGGGACGTGCTGCTGCTCGATCTGGATGCCCTCATCGTGCGCAATGCGATACCCTTCTTCCGAAGCATGGTCTACCACATGGGACAGCCAGGGACGCGGATCAAGCTCGTCGTGCAAAACGGCGGCGGCGGCGGCATCTACAACACCGGGATCGTGTTTGCTATCCACGTAGCTGGCACAGACGCGCTCCTTAGCAAGTGGTACGATAAAACAGTGCGAACCAACACGAGCACACCTGAGCAAAGTGCGCTGCTATCCTTCTCTCAAATGCCCAACATATCAGCACAGATTCTCCCCATCCACGTATCCGTCCTGTGGCATCGGTGGCGGTGCCTCCGTGCGAAAAGCTTTCTGCGCACGCACGACGACCGGCTCACCACGCCGGACTTCTCTGCAGCAATACCGACTGGGCCCCTGATCATTCATTACTCGGGCTTGTACTCGATGCAGGCCAAGATGAGGTGCATGAAAGCCGAGGAGAATTGGCTCGTCTCGAGCGACTGGTGCCACGACGCCCCCACAAACAGCTCGGACCGTTCGAATCATATGCCAGATGAGGAGGAGGAGAACGCCACGTCCCTTGGCGCGCTTCTCGCGGGTGCGCACACGCGCGGTGGCGTGGTGTTCACGACCGTCACGTTGAGGCAGGGGGATGAGGCCAACCTCGGGCTGCTGCTAAACTGGTACACGCGCTTGCAACAGCTCAAGAGCCACCCATTGGTCATCGGTATCGACGAAGGCGGGGAAACGTGTCGGATAGCTCGGCAGCACGGCATTCGTTGCCACGCTCATTCGGCAGCCGACCTGAGAGACACGCCGCTGCCGCTCATTCACGCCCGGGACGGTGTCCGCCCGGCGGCGGTGGACATGAAGCACGCATACGCGGCGACCTTCCTCCGCCACGGACTGCGCGTCTCCTTCTCGGATGCAGATGTCTACTGGGTTCGCGCGCCGCTGCTGGGTGGCCCCGCCCCTGATGACATGCGCGCGGACGATATGCGCGCCCTCTCCGACGACATCTCCGCTGACGACGCTCCCGACCTTTGGCAGTCGAAGCAGTGTGGCAATCCAAAGTACCCCTTCCCATATGGCACTCGGCCCTCCGTGCGGAGCCGGAACTCAGACCCATCCGCCGGTCTTCACGGCCCGCTGCCTCTACGTAGGTTCGCCTTGCATGAGCACCGGCGCGTGGGAGATGCGCCCCACCGACGCGTCCAAGCAGTACCTTGAGTGCGTCCTCGACATCTTGCGCAGGCCGGGCTCGTCGAATCGCTCGCGAATGTGGGAGCAAATGGCCGCAAACATCTGCTTATCCCGGCAGCATCGCACGATGCGGTTTCGGGTGTGGCCCAAGACGACCCACGCTAACGTTGGCATAGTGGATCGACGCGGTGCGAACCTAACATCAATGGACCTCGTCCACCTCGGGTATGTGATTAAGGGTAAGCAGTGGGAGTTCGAGCGGCGCGGTCTATGGTTGGTCAGCCTGAACTGCTCCAGCGCGAGGACAGATCTGCTCGGATCGATCCGCTGCACCATTGCTCGGCGCAGGCGGCGAGATCTAGGTGGCGAGGCTGATCGATCAGCCCGCCTCGGAGTGACGCAGCCGAGATGCCCCATAGGCGTGCTTGCTGGAGGTCCACCTACCGAGACGGGTGCAAGCGGACGTGCAGTAGCGACTGCACGTTGTCGACCAACGACGAGCTCCACACATTGGACACTCCACGCCTAAGCTAACGTAGGGAAAGTCGTGGCCTGGCCCTAGATGGCCTTTTCATTTCCTTAGTACGTAGAGCTCTACACACGTTACGGTAGGAGAGGTCGACACTCCAATCACCATGAGCACTGCTGACCGGCCAAAAAGAGACACGGCACTTTCCGTCCTGCCAGACCAATGAACGCAAACGTGAACGACGAAACGGACGATGGCGAGCCGCTACAACTTCATACTGAGGCGTCGCGCGCGTCCTCCGTCGCCGGGTTTGTTCCCACAGCGAGCCGCGCGTCGTCTGCATGCAACGGCTTCGTGGCCGGGAGGCCAGTCGAACGCGTCGGAGCCAGTGGCGGGTGAGCGGAGGGTCTGCGTACCATCCGCATGGCCATGTCCGACAGCCCACGCCCGAGGGATATGACTGGCGACGTGGCAGAATGAACCAGCGATGGCGGGCCCGTGGCGCGGCGAGGGGCGCCGCCAGAGTCGTGGAACTTTGCCATGACTTTGAACGGGTGGGACGCGAGGGTCTTTTTCGCGCCGTCGCCGCGGGCCTCGATACACAGCCTCGCCAGTCGGCGGAGGGTGCCCGCCTTGGCGCGAAAGACGTCCCGCGAAAAGCGAAAGTCAAAGGACGCCACACCCTGCGCGTCGGCCACGAGCTCGAGCCGCTGCCCGCTCGAGCCGCTGCCAAATTCGAGGGCTCTGTCCAGGCTGGGCAGGCGGCCGCTGGTCGACACCCACTCGAGCCACGCATTCACCCGGCTGCCACGCTCCAGGCCGTCAAGAGTGACCTTCAGGCAACGCTCGAGGTTCGCCTCGGCGCAGTTGTTGCGAACGCGTAGCGCCATCTCTGGCTTGGCATATGAGTGCACCGCGGTCGGCCGAATAGTGAGGCCGTCGATGCCGTCGTCGAGGCAGCCGCCGTCGTCTGATTCCGCTCGGGATGGCTGAGGTTTCAGCGGAGGCTGTGGCGGTGACCGAGGCGACGTCATCTTGAAGAGGTGCCAGGGAACGCCCCAGCGTGGCGACGTCCTTGGACTGTCGCTTTTGGCGCTTTTGGGTGGGCTGGGAGCGTCAAGCACGTTGAGGATCTCATCGACCCCGATCGTGCCATCGTCAGCGTTATGCGGCTCCACTGCGAGAGATCGGGCATCACTCATCAGGATGCGGTGAGGCACTAGCACAGCGCGACAACTCTTGAGCACCAACGGCGTCGAGGACTGGGGTGAGGCACTAGCACAGCGCGACAACTCCTGAGCACCCCAGCGTCTCGCTCGGACAGCAAGACCGCCGCATTTCGGCCGTCTTTCTTTTTATCGTTAGGGCGGCCAGGATGATGAAATTCTGCAAAAACCTGGCCGGCCCCTGCCCTGCCCCTACCTACCTACCTACCTACCTTACTTATGGGAAACTAAAAAAGAAAACACTCGATGGGAGAGAGAGAGAGAGAGAGGGAGCTGCAAGAATTGGTGATAAGCTGCGGAGAGAGATAGGAAGTGGTAGACGCCCGAGGGTGGGCGACGGCTAACACCACACTTCTCCCCTAAAATCCCTGTGTGGTGGCGGCGTACCGTCCTCCCATCCCTCCCTTGGGTTGTCTGTTTTCTTTCTTTTTTTAGAGAGGGAGAGAGAGAGAGAGAGAGAGAGAGAGAGAGAGAGAGAGAGAGAGAGAGAGAGAGAGAGAGAGAGATGTTTGTTGACTCGATGGGTGAAGGTGGTACTATACCAACTAGAGTGAGAGAGAGATTCCAGGCCCCAAATGACGAACGCTAAAAATCTCTCTCTCAAATGACGTGTTTGTTGTAGAGTGATGGTTGGTGGTACTCTCCTGCAACCACAGTCCTTCTTGTGACATGGCAGGCCACTCTCAAGCTCTACAAGCATCAGATCACCCATTTGGGGAGGGTTGACATCGTGATTTCCCCGGAAAAAATCTTTTTCTGAAAATTCCGGCGTGAAGAGAGGGAAAACCCCGAAAGGCCCAGACCTACCCTACCTACCCCGTCATGCTGGCCGCCCCAAGCAAGAAGTACACATACCTGTCGGCCCTTCGGAAGACCAGAAAGAAAACAGAAGATTTGAAAACCAGCTGAAGTTCACTCCTCGTACGCGCCGCTCGGAGAGCCCATCAATCGAGGCGGACGCAGCTGTGAGCGCACCGGTTTTTAGCGGTGTTTCGACACCGATATCGTTCAAGGAGAACCGTCGCTGGCTTTGGCTGGCGATGACAGATCGCGTCTGGATACCCGTGGCCGACGCCGATGCGTGGGCACTAGCAACCACCGTCGACGTCCGCGATGGCGACCTGGTCACACTCCGCCGCGATGGCACCGACCACACAGTACAGATGACGCGCGCCGAGCTTGAGGCGCTTCCAGCTGCCGTGCTGGACGAGGCGGTCGACGACCTGACTGCGCTCTCAAGCGTGCACGATGCCACCATGCTCGACACCCTGCGGCGGCGCCATGCTGCCGACGAGATCTTCACGTCCATTGGTGAGGTGGTGATCAGCGTCAACCCGTTCAAGCCCGTCCCATCGTGCACTCCCGACTCGATAGCGCGGCTTAGCCAGCAGGGTGAGGCTGCGCCACCGCACGTTGCCCGAGTGGCATCGGTCGCGTATCGCAAAATGACGGGCGACGACGGGTCGCCGCCTCGTGCGCAATCGATTCTCATCTCTGGCGAATCCGGCGCCGGAAAGACCGAGGCATGCAAGCTGTGCCTCATGGCCCTCGCCAGTGTTTCCGGATCAAGTCAGGGAGCGACCGAGGGGGCGGTCGAATCCGCGCTCCTGCTCGAGGTTCGCTAGTTGACCTTTTGCATGGCCTCTTACCCTCTGACCCTGCCTGGCCGCTCCCTTACCCCGATTGACCTCTTGCCACCCTCTGACCCTGCCTGGCCGCTCCCTACCCCGATATTCACGTCCCCGTTCCTCTGATCCGTCTGAGCCGGTGCGCTCAGGCGTTTGGCAACGCAAAGACGGTGTACAACGACAACTCATCCCGCTTCGGCAAGTGGACCGCCGTCTTCTTCGACGCGTCGCGGCGCATCGTCGCGTGCCACGCCGAGGCCTTCCTGCTCGAGAAGCCTCGCGTCGTCGGGACGGGCCCCGGCGAGCGGAGCTACCACATCTTCTACCAGATGCTGGCCGGTGCGAACGAGGAGGAGCGGCGGGAGCTCTCGCTGCAGAGCTCCTGCTCCGCGTATGCCTACCTGCGCGGCGGGACAGATGCCATCAGCGGCGTCGATGACGCAGCGCAGTGGCGCGAGACGGCGGCAAGGATGAGTCTGCTCGGCATCGGGGGAGAGAGGAGGGGCGAGTTGATGCGCGTGATTGCCGCCGTCCTCGCGATCGGCAACATCGGCTTTACGGCGGCCGACGACGGCACGCGCTGCGTCTCGGGCGAGGGCGGGCGCTGGCTGGCGCACGCCGCATCCCTGCTCCGCGTCAGTCCGTCGCAGCTCGCGGAGAAGCTGACGTCGCGAGTCCTGACTGCGGGCGGCAAGGGGAGGAGCTCCATGTACACCGTCGCCCTCGACGCGGAGGCGTGCGAGGCGGCACGTGACGCCCTCGCGCAGAGCCTCTATGCGGCAGCCTTCGAATCGCTCGTCGAGTCGCTCAACGGCAGCCAGGAGGAGGCGGCGGCGGCGGCCGGGCGGGTGCGCGGGTGCGCGACGGTCGACAACGAGCGCTTCGTCGGACTCCTCGACATCTTCGGCTTCGAGAACTTTGCTCTCAACTCGTTTGAGCAGCTCTGCATCAATTTCGCCAACGAGAGGCTCCAGGCCCACTTCATTGACGCGCTGGTCAAGCTGCGCGTGCTCGAGTACGAGCGCGAGGGCGTTCCCCTCACCGCGATCGAGTTCCCCGACAACGAGGCGAACGCACACGCATCCCCCGCACGCACGCACGCACACTCGCAGCTCCCTCCCCTCCTCGCCGCAGGCCCAGCTCGCCCTCCTCGACGGGAAGGCGGTCGGCCTGTTCGCCTCGCTCGACGACGAGGGCTCCGTGCCGGGCGGCTCAGAGCAAGGGTACGTCGACGGCCTCGTCGCGCGCTTCGGCTCGAACGGAGCGTGCGCCTCCGAGGCCTTTGACCCGCTCAAGCGCGGGAAGGGTGGCACGCAGGTCGGGGAGCGAACCGGCCGCTCCTTCGCCGCGCAAGGCTCCCGCCTCGACCGGCTCTCCTTCTGCGTCGTCCACTTTGCGGAGCCGGTGCGGTACAGCGCGGAGGGGTGGCTGGCGAAGAACGTCAGCGGCCTCCACCCAGACCTCGCCTTTGTGCTCAACCAGTCGGAGTCCCCGCTCGTGCGCGGGATGTACCCCTCCTCGACGGCGGACGCCACCGCCAAGCGGCCGTCTGTCGGTGCCGCCTTCCGAAAGTCGCTCCGCTCTCTGTCGACGGTGATGCTGCAGACGACGCAGTCCTTCCTGCGCTGCGTCAAGCCCAACGGCCACAAGGCGGCAGACACCTTTGACGGGCGCTTTGTGATGCGCCAGCTTCGCTACACCGGCGTGGCTGCCGTCGTCGCCATCCAGCGGGCGGGCTACCCGGTCTCAATGGCGCACGCCGACTTTGTGGGCAGGTACCGCTGCCTCGTCATCGGCCATGCCGCCCGCCTGGAGGGCGGCCGCATCGATCCAGACTGCTCCAAGGCTTGCACGGGCCTGCTCCGAATAGCGCCCGCTCTGACGAGCGCTGGCGAAGACGACTGGCTCGGCAGCCTCCGGGCCGTCGTCGGTGCGAGCAAGGTTTACCTCATTGAGGCTGTCTCTCGCGCCCTCGAGGCGTCGCGGCAACGGCAGGTGGCCGGGGCGGCACTGTTTGTGCAGCGCTGCGGCAGAGGCCAGCTAGTCCGCGCCACTGTGCGGGTCTTGCGCATGCACTGGCCGGTCGCGACGACCGTGCGCGCCGCCCTCGCAGCGACTGACGTGGAGACGGCGCGTCGACTGCTCGCGCCGCTCGCGGCAGGGTGGGCGGCGGCCAAGCTTCCCCTCCGCTCGACGCCCTCGCAGCTGCTCGAGTGCCGCGCCGACTTTGACTCTCTGCGCGGCGAAGTTCGCGCGCTGGAGGACGGGCTGGAGGCGGAGACGGAGGCGCTTGAGGAGCTCGGCCTCGCGCTGCGCCAGGCGACATCAGGGAAGGTCTCTCCCAAAGAGGCGTACGTCGCAATCAAGCTGGCGCTCAGCGCGGCCGCCGCGGCGTCGCGCGGGCTGCGGCCAGAGCTGGCCGCCCTCATCGAGGAGGCGGAGAGCGCGCTCGCGTCGTGCCAGGGTGACCTCGAGCAGCTGGCGGGCCGCCTCGGTGGTGCCGATCCAGACGGGGGCGACGACGAGCTCGACGCCGCGGCGCAGCTGGCGGCCATGGAGGCGGAGCTTGCCGCGGAGGTGTCGCGCCAAGAGGCGAGGCGCAAAGAGGAGAGGCGCGCGCGGCGGAGGGAGGTGGCGGATGAGCTACTCGCCAGCGCCCTCGAAGAGGGGTCCTCGGTCGCCATCCTCACCGTGCAGCTCCGGAACGGAGTCGACACCGAGTCGTCGTCGGCAGCGCGGCTCGTCGGCTTCTCCGAGGGCGGCTGCGGCGTCGCCTTCTCCGAGACGAACGCGGTGGCAGCGATCCACCGAGGCGGGCAGGCGATGCGCGACGGGGCCCTGCGGCTCGGAGACGTTGTGCTCGAGGTGGACGGCGCGGGGCTGGACGGCGAGCACGTCGTCACGGCGCTCAGGGCGCGCGAGCAGCCGTCGTACGAGCTCACGGTGGCGCGACTCAGCGAGGACGCACGCGGCGATGACGGAGGAGCAGGCACCAAGCGCGCCGGCTGGGTGCACTCGATCCGCGCGCGGGGCGGCAAGGCGCTGCCGGGAACCACTCCGCGCCGCCTTTGGGCGGTGTTGGACAGCACGTCGCTGGCTTTCAAGACCTCGCCACACGGGCTTACGCTGAAGCAGTGCACGGTGGGGCTCTCGGGCGTGGCTTGCAAGGTGCCGGTGACCCGCCTCGCGGGCAAGTCCCTCGCCATGCCGCCCGCCCTCGCGAGCATGGCGGAGCGGCAGCGCTTCCCCTTCAGCCTCGCATGGGAGCGGGGCGAGGTGGGGTACGACCTCATCCTCGGCGTCGCGACGAGCGGCGACCGGCAGGCGTGGGCAAAGGCGATCCAGGCGGTGAGGGCCGAGATCCAGGCCCAGGCGCCGACGGCAGGGTGGCTCACCAAGAAGCCTGGCCGCCGGGGGCTGCGGCCGGGGGAGAGCCTCCTCCGGCCAATCACGGGGTGGAAGCGGAGGTGGTTCGTGCTTCACCAGGGCGACCCGTCCGGCGGGGTGGCGCCGTCCCTGCGCTACTTTTCGCGCCCAGAGGAGACCACGGCCTCGCTCCTCGGCGCCGTGGTGCTCAACGCGGGCTCCGTGCTCAGCGTCGGCGCCTCCGCCGTCCCACATTCGTTTGAGGTGCGGTCGCAGGGCGCCGCCGACTTGCGGCCCATCACGACGGTGCTCGCATGTCGCGACAAGGACGATTGCGAGCGGTGGCTGAAGGCGCTGCGTCGCGCCCTGCTCCACGCCGGCAGCGAAGTGGCCAGCTCCAAGGAGCTGATGGCGGCGGCGGAGCGGCAGTCGCACCTGCTCGCGTCGCGCTCGGCGCAGGCGCTGATGGCGCTCTCCCGGCTCGAGCAGGAGGAGCTGCGGAGGGTGCGGCTGCGGACGCTCTACGAGGTGGCTGCGCTCCTGCGCGTGCGGCTCCCACCTGAGCTCGAGCCGGCCGCCACGCGCGGCCTAAAGGCCATCTCGCGCGAGAATGCGAGGGAGCGGCTCGTCGCTTTGATTCACGCCGCCCAAGTCGAGCGGGACGCGATGGATCGCCGCCGCGCCGTCAGCGTGGCGTACTCGGTCCGCGGGCGCGCGAGGTCGACGTGGCACGACGTGGGGGGGGGGATGGGGGTAGCGGAAATGCTGTCGAGTGAGGTATGATCTGCGTTTTGAGAGCTTCGGCGTCTTGTCAATAATCGAAAGGAGCCCTGCTTGCACACGATTTTACTCGCTCACAGCGGTCAGCGCGATAACCGATATCGCTGAGAACGCCCAGATGATTTTCTTTTTGATTTTTCGTATTTCGAGCTTCGTTAAACGTTATCGTTTCAACTTTCAAATGGTTTGCATCATTGGTACAGTGAGAACCAGCACAATCCACCGGCCACAGAACGCAAGAGCGCCGCTACCAAACCCCCTCACTGCTCACACGACTAAACTACATGAACATGACGTTCGCCCCATCCCTGCCCAGAGACCCCACCCTTGCACCCACGAGTGTGGCCCCGTCGCATGTGCAATCCCAACCCTCCCCGCTGTTGCGGCGGCCACGCACCGCTACGCGCGGGCGGTCTCCTTCATCAGCGTCGACGCCTCGTTGGACGCCGATGACGTCCTGTGCCGCAGGGAGGGGAGGCGCGTGAGCGACGGTCTGTGCGAAAACCATCTCCCGATGCCCTCTCCCCGCGGCACTACCCCGCCCGCCTAGCCTCGCCGCACCTGGTGGCGCGGACGACCCCCGCCTCGGACTCCTCCTCCTCCTCCTCCTCCTCCTCCCCCACCGCCTGCAGCTCCATGTCGGGGTCGCCAAAGGCAGACGAGAAGCCGGCGCCCGCCGTGTACCCTCTCCGCTGCGGCGCGACGAAGCGGCGGCGCGCGGCCCACAGGCCGACGCCGAGCACGACGCCGGCGGCGAGCACGAGCAGCGGCGAGGCGGTGTGCCTGGCTCGCCGCAAACGCGCCAAGTCTTCGGTCCACTTTGCCCTCGCGCCGAGCACGCCGCCGACGGCGCTC